CCGTCGCATCTCGAGGCAGAGCTTCTCAATGCGGTTGGTAAACCCCGCCAGTCGTGTATGGGCCTGCGCCATGGCCCGCTTGAGACCCTGCCGGCGTGCTCGATTCCATAGCGCCTTTGCATGTCTTTGCTTCAGGGGAAGCTTTCTCTCCTCCCAAGATTCTTCCATGCGCAGTATTTCTTCTTGCATCACGCGGTCGACATCGTCACCAGAAAGCAAGTGGGATTTCCGGGCTTTCTCTTGTCTGATTTCCTCCGCCTCTTCTTCCATTTCTCTCATGGTGTCGGAATCGTATTCCTCGTCGTCTGACTCGCCAAACGCTGGCAGAATCTCGTCTCCTTCGTCCGAGGGTTCGACTTGGGGGTGAAAGCCACTGTTGAGACTGTTCAGAGATTCGTTATTTTTACGAAACAGTCGTGACATAGCCCGGTGTATCTGACGACGTTTTCCCGCAGGTACCTTGCCACGAGTAGCTAGGTCGAGGACATGCTTTCCCGCCGGAGCCAAGCCATTGATCTCACTCTGTGTGAGCATACTGTCTTCGCTGACGACGAAGTTGGACTTGGGGACCAGGTCAGCGGTAATCAAAGCCTGAGTGCCAAAGTAGGCGTTGGATGTGGTATCCAACCAATCCGGTTTCGAGTAACTGCGAGGAAAATGTCGTGTAACGCCTGTCGCCGCGTGGGGAAAGTTTACGACGCCAAGCCCAGCGACATCCGTGGAGATCAAGACAGGCGCTAATCTCCGCCTTTTCTGAGGCGGTTCCTCGGGGTCGCCGTTCGCCTTCGTATTTGCCAAACCGCCGAGCTGCTCTGCGACGGATTCTTCACAACGAGGTAGATCACTTGAGGACCGTGGTGGGCTAGACCCTTGCTGTAGAGCAGTTTGTTGGATATTGTCGAAGGGCGCTTCCTGAGAGCTGTTCTGAGACTCAAGCTCTTGACCCGCTGACTCAAGTTTGTGCTGTCGGTAGCCGGCGCTCTTAGACTTGAGGTAAGTAATGGCCTTAACCAGAGTCATCTGGTGTGCTGGTTTGGTGAGACCCAGGGTCTCAAGGAGGCCTTTCGTGGATGACATGACATCCTCGTATGTCAGCAGGGTCTCTCCGTCGATCTCGTTCTCTCTCAGGGCGTTGGAAAGAGTTTGGGGATCGGGTCTTTTGCTGGCCTGCCGGGGCAGCCAGGAGCGCTTGTCGGCGATGCAAAGCTCATGTACCACTTTGTCGACATCCCAGTCGAAGGGATCGCCATCGGTTCCTGCCATTTTGATTTTTCAAGCCATCAGGCGCGTTGCTTATGCAGTGTTAGTAGTTGTCATCGGTCTCTGAAACCGGAGATAGGAAGTAGAAAGTGGTGCGTTGAGTCTGGCTCCCGTCAGGAGTGCTTGGGCACTACCTTCTTAGACAGGCAAGAAAGATGAGCTGTGTTCTTTCCAAACACGTCGTAAGTGGGGAAGAGCTCTTGAACATGCTCTGATGGGATGACGACAGAACAGAGAAGGCGGGGCCGCGTAGCCACGAGAGCAGAGTGTGTAAATTTTGAGGTATGACTTACGACGAATCTGGCAGCTGTTCGTGTGCATCGGCGTAAGTGTCGTGAGATAGAGAGACGTCGCATACAGCGATGTAATCATCTCCGCATGAGGTAGAGACGCTAGTCGAAGAACCTCCTCCGAACTCGAGGTGAAGGCAAGGAATTTTCTGGAAGGTCCCCGGGCAGTAGAAAAAGACAAAGGAATGAAAACCCCGGCGAGGCAAACAGGTGGTGAGCGGCGGCTGAAAGCCGAGGACTGTCCTCGTCGAGACGCGAGGGACGGACAGTTGAAAAAACGGGGTGACGTTGAGAAAGGTCGAGTTTGAGTTCAGGCGTGTGAACAGTCTGCTTTTGAATGCGCAGGAAGGATAGAAACCAGCTGACTGGGTAGACAGCAGGTGCAATGACTTCTCAATTCACGACGCGTGCTGGTGTAGAAGTCGCGGAGGAAGTCGTTCTCGCCCCACATCCCCTCTAGCGCATGTACAGATGCGACGGGGGTAACTGTTACAGCAGGGTAGGTCCGCTGGCAGAGTCGATAAGGTACCTGGGTAGGTAGGTTCTAGGTACCTAGATAAACACCGCCACTAGTGCGGGCAGCGGCGCGGTGCCTGCAAGGCTTTGATCATCCTTTGCCTAATTTTGAGAATCCACTATTGACACGTGATGGATTTCGGTGTTAAGATAACTGATAAGGCATAGATAGGTAAGAAGAAGCAGATAGTGGGGTGGAGGGGTAAGTAAGACCAGCGCATTGCAGCTTGAGCCTGCTGTCTTCTGATATGAATCCCCGTTGATCTTTCTCAACCCCAAGATGAAAGAGCGGTGCCCCTTTTGTCATATAAATGATTGCCTGCGACATGATATCTTTCTTTAAGGTGCCTCGGCGCTTGGCCTAACTAATTTTTCAACTCTCCGTCCCAGCCGTCTGCGTTGCCTCACACTGCCGTACGTAGTTAGCTCAAGCACGTCTTCTGCAGGACAGTTACTCTTCAGCTGGGAAACCTAGTCGCGGGGCTTCGCGGTGGGGCCATCAGAGCCTCCCCCTCCTTCAATTGTGATGCCCCTCATCCTCTCAATTGCTAAATGCCCAGGGCCAACGTCTCTTAGCATCGTCATCGTCCAGATTTAATTTGTGCGCCGCCTGAGAGACTCCACGAGTGCTGTGTACCTAGCCTACGCAACACCACGCTAAGCTTTGGGATTGAGGATCACACAACGCTACTCGTACGAGTGATTTCTCAGCATGTCTACCACCTGCATAATTTTGAGCGCACTTCAATTACTAATGCCGAGATAGAGAGGACACCGTCCGGGCCTCATACTTCCTACCTTTGATTCTCAAACAACAGTTGTCAGGATTTCAGTGGTCTTTCTGCCTTCTGCACTTCCAACCGCTTTGTGGGCGCTGAAGCTGAAAGATGGCATCTGCAACACTTACGACGGAGCAATACCCCCCTCGGCTTTCTCAGCCAGAGCAGGATGCGCTCGTGCAGACCATCAAGGATTGGGCGATTGGCCACGGCTTGTCTGTTCGACCACCTCCCGCCGTTGTTTCAGCGGAAGTAGACCCAAAGGGAATCCTAGCAGTCAACGTGCCAGTCACGCTTTTCCCCAGCCCATTCCCCAAGCAGTGCTTTGCACAAGCACGGTCGGTCCAGAAGACCTACAACGAGCTATATGCCGCCATCAGTAGGGACGAAGAGTTCCTGAGCGAGATGGTCAATGAGTGAGTTCCTGCAACGCTCTATGTGGGAGAGTCGTAATGATACACGCTGAAGCCACTGGATTATGTCTGACTTCAAACAGGGTAAAGAGCGGCGACGACTTCATCGGCAAACTTTGGGATACTCATTTGAGAGTAAAGAAGGAGGGCTACGCCCAGGTTCGTCCGCTTGGATGCTGTGATACGTTGACGCTGGGCTAATTTGGGTCAAGAACCTTTCACTCGGGTTATTCAGGTCCGATTACCTTGTTCACCAGGATGTCTCATCAGGCCAACCCAAGCGCCAGGTGAAGCAAGTTGAGTTCAACACGATAGCTGCATCCTTTGGCGGTCTCTCGTCTCGTACTTCGCTCCTTCACAAGTGAGTCTGTCTCATCTGTTCGGGAGAGTGCGTTGCTAATACCAGCAGATTTCTCTCCGTCTCTGAGTACCCCCTGCTGAACCGCTCTATTGAGTCGGGCTCTCTGGATTTGCCAGAGAACCAGAGTGTCCAGGGTCTTGCAGGCGGCATCCGCGCTGCCTTCGACCAGTACGGCCCCTCGGAACTCGGCCACACGAAGTGTGTAATCTTTGTTGTACAAGGTGGCGAGCGCAACATTTTCGACCAGCGACATCTCGAGTATGCGCTCACCAGCTCTCCTGACCCGGTCCAGGTGTTTCGCATTCCTTTCTCCGAGCTTCTCAAGCACACCGAAATCGCAAACACGCCTAAGCGTCAGCTTCTTTACAAGGTGCCTAGAGATCCCTCAAAGGTCTTTGAGGTCGCTGTCTCGTACCTTCGATGCTGGTATGATCCGTCGGACTATCCCGACGAGAGCACTTGGGAGGCTCGCTACCACCTGGAGAGGTCATCGGCAATCAAGTGTCCTACCGTCTTGACCCAGTTAGCAGGCAGCAAGAAAATTCAGCAAGTTCTAGCAACGCCGAGGTCTGGATCGTCTCCTTCAGTTTTGGGTCGCTTTATTGCCGATGACTCTCCTCAGACCGCTGAGGTGTGGCAGACCTTCACCAACATCTTCCCCATGGACAACTCCGAGGCTGGTCTCAAGGCGCGCAAGATCGCCCAGGATCCCGAACTGTGCAAGAACTACGTCCTGAAACCCCAAAGGGAAGGCGGTGGAAACAACCACTACCGCGAGGACATTCCCGAATTCTTGAAGAAGACCCCTGAGTCCCATTGGGGGTCATATATCCTGATGGAGCTGATCACCCCTCCAAAGCAGGACAATATCATTCTCCGCAACGGTGACCTTGAGGAGGGTGGTGTTATCTGCGAACTGGGCATCTACGGGACGGCGGTATGGAACCAGGGCACCGGTGAGATAGTGCATAACAAGGAGGCCGGTTACTTGCTCCGCACCAAGGGCGACACGAGCAATGAGGGCGGAGTCGCGGCTGGCTTCGGGTGCATGGACAGTTGTACTCTTGTCTGATGCTCCTTGGAGCAGACGAAGCCATCGGACTCCTCAGGCCGCCTGCCGCAAGCTTGAACTGGGACCAGTATCGAGCTTTGCGTGTCATCAGGGATACATATAGCATTAGAGAGCATAACCCGTGGTATCAATTATCGTCCCCAAAAAGTTTTGTACAACGTGCCTCATCAGGCCCGATTTGAAGTCATCACACAAAAGAAATCCCGGCACAGAGTGGAGAAGGGCCATTTTCAAGTCAACATCGGATGGTGGGCTCTCGTAGTCGTCATTCAACATAAAGAACTCGGTTCATAGCATTGACGGACGTATTTACTCGCTGGCGGGAGTGCCGGTGGCAGGGCGTCTAAGGACCTCAATGTTGCCTGAGGGAGAGTCAGAAGGCTCGAATATTTCACTTTGTGTGAAGCGATCGATCGGAACATACGCTGGACAACGTTGAGAGAGCTGCGGGTCTTGCCCTCGGCATCTTGGTAGGTGCTCATGGAGGCATCGCCCTCGACGAAAACCATGGTTCTAAAGGGTCATTAAATGTCAGTCGACAGAAATTTTCGCAAAGTGAACGTGGTGTCGCTATATCGTACCCCTTGGGCAGGCTCTGGAGGAAGTCACGGCCGGGTCCCTCAGGAGCGAAGCTGGTGACACGGAACCAGCTGGTGTGACGGTTCTCGCGGGAACCGCTGTTGCTGGCGACAGCGTATTTGACGATCTCGCGGCCAGTGCTGGTGGCGTGGAGCTCGGGGGTATCAGCGAGGTTACCGATAATGGAGATGCGGGCAACGTTGTGGGCGGGGGAGGTGCTGAAGGCACGGGCGGCAATACGCGGGGCAACGGCGGCGCGGCGGAAGAGCATGGCGGACATGTTGACGGCTTGGAAGGGCGATTTTTGTGGTGTTTGGGGTTTCAAAGGAGTGTATGAAGCAAGACGATGGTGAACACGAGTCGGCGAGAGGTTTGCGGTGAGCTAAACCCGCGCCAAACGCGACTGGACGCGATCACTAACTTCCCCAGATAGGGCCAGCATTGATGTGGCCCGTGCATCTGGGAATGAGGTTCATGCGACGCTTCGGTAGTGCTGCTATCGGGGGTTATGCATCTAAATGGTAAGCTGGCGACTATGAACCAGCAGGGGGCATTTCTAAACGCAGGCACATCAGACCTCAGAACATGACAATGGCCTGGGTGATGTAAAGCCCAACAGCTCACTAACAGGGCGAAACCATCTTCTGAGTGAATGAATCATTGTATTTCTTTAGGAAGGCATGGTTGTGTTCCGCTCGCAAATGTGATATGATCAGCTGGTCTGTCACATCTGATCCTCGACAGGTCAAGTTTGTGAGCCTGGGGCGGAGATTCGTAACCGCCACGTCCATTTGCCTTGGACTTTAGCCAAGGGCTTCACCATTATTTTTCCGTGGTAAAATATGATTATGCCTTCATGTTAACGCGGCCCGCTGGTTGCCTGAGATGTGTTTCTACCTTACGCAGTTTGACGCAGGACCTCTGCAGTTGCGTCCGAGAGTGCCCCTTTCCTTTCTCGTCAAGGCTTCGTATCATCAGGACCTTCCTCCATAGCCGCCTTGAAGAAGGGGCGGGATTCTTCGTCCCTTCCCGGTAGGGCATACATCGCCCTGCTGTCCTAGCCACAAAGACTACTGTTATGTCAATCTGGCCTCGTTCCTCCTTCCCCCCCCCCTCCAGAAAACTTCGGCTTGCGAAGGATACTTCCTCCAGTTACACTACCCGCCTCTTGCGTTCCCTTCCCGCCAGCACATGGCTCTCATCCACTAACCATCTGGCGATTTGTTGTGCCCTGGTCGCACCATTTGGAAAGGGCATAAAGCCAGGGGTAATTCTATCTTCGTTTTCCATGACCATCGGGTCTCTCGTTTTCATGAACATGGCACCCATTTCAGAAAGCCTGATGGCCCGCAGCCTCGAAGTGATTCCTCTTTTGCCAACAGCACCTTATACGACACCCTCTATGAAAGCCAACCTGGTCTGCCGAGTGGTTTCCGCATGCCTGGCCAACCTGGTTTGTCTGATTCCGCTGAGAAACCTGTATCGCAACGGCGAGTTTGCGGCGGTTGTGCTCGTTTCCACAGTCATCCTTCTTAACCTTCTTACAGTCGTCAACTCTCTCATCTGGCGCGACGACAACATCAAAGAATGGTGGAGAGGCTGGATCTGGTGCGATATTCACCCTTACCTCTACCAACCTGCTTTAACCATCTACGCCACATCGATCGCCGCCATCATGCGAAATCTAGCAGAGCAAGTCAACTTAGACCGCGCCGGTCCGCTCACTACCATCGAGAAGAGAAAGAGGATGTGGTTCCAGGCTTTGATAATATTTCCGCTCCCCGTCATTCAAGTCGGCTGGCTATATCCTCTGGCAGGACAGAGATACATCATTGGCACACTCAAGGGGTGCTTATGGAGTACAACACCAAATTGGCCATGTATCGTCTTCTTTCTGCTGCCAATCCCAGTTGTGACTCTGATGGCAGGATTCTATTCAGGTTAGTCAACTCGAGATATGACAGACCTGTCTGCTAACCCCTTGCACAGTTCTCACCTGGAGACGATTTAAGCAGATTGAGAGCACAACTCGTTCTGCTGTCGTCTCAAACTCCTCAACCACTGCGAGATCGAATCGAACACGGCGTAGGTTGTTCTTGATGACAACCTGCATTCTTGTTCCTTACGTCCCAATTTCCTGCACCTATGCGGTCTACCAGATCAAAATTTACTTGCCTTTACAAGCATTCGACTTCAAAGAAATTCACTATGGTGACGGCGCCTGGCCATGGGATTCGGTAATCCTATACCCATACGACCAACTAACCTTCTTCGAACTCAACTCCAACTATCTACCAATCATCACGACAGCAGCAATATTCGTCTTCTTCGGCATGAGCAAAGACTCAATGGATACATATCGTCACTGTTTGTTGACCATGCGTCTCGATAAAGTGTTCCCGAGACTAAGTGACGACGCCACATCAAGCACAGGTCAAACTCCAGCAGGCTCCTGGGGGACAGTCTCAATGTGAGTGTTAAGCGTCCCGAAAATATTATCACGTTGCTGACCAAGACTTATCAGGTCCACGCTCGCCAAGTCTCCAAAGTATAGTTTCGGTCGATCTGTTCATGTTACCCAGGTTTCAAAGGGGCAAGGCTCGTTATCCTCGCCACCTCCACCATACACCACAGAGGTCAACGACCCTTCCGACGACATGAGAATTACCGTCATAGAACCCGAACCCTGTGCGATTAGCGAGCACAAAGATAATACCACTGCCAGGTGTATTTCCTCAGAGACAAATGAGGGAGGCTATCATCACGGGGACTCTCCCCTCAATAATCTCACTGGCTCTTTCCGCGGCCGACTGGGAGTCCACGGATTCTCAGGCAAACAGATACCGGCGGCTAAGTCCCGTGTGCACGCACACTTGGGGTCGGACATGAACCACCTTCAAGCGGAGCAATCAACTCAAGACGATTGGTTACCCCGACTATCTCCTCAGCCGAAGTTGATGACCATGATTCAAGCGCATATGGAACAACCAGAAACCTACAGCCAGGAGCGCCGGAGATGATTTCATAAGTCTTCCTTGCCTATTTTTACGGGTCGAACTTTCCATGTGCTCTCGAACTTTGCCCACGACGCCTTCTGAACAGTTGCTGAAGGGACTCAGAGAAATTTCTTACCGCACCTGTTGAGAGCGTCACCAAGAAACCGCCAATTGTTTCTGCACGTCACACTCGTCAAGCAGGACGAGCATGGTCGTTGACCGACCTGCTTAGTGTATCACTCGTATCCCGCTTGAAACGGCGGGTGTACCGTGAACCACACGACTGACGAGACACGGGAGGGTCTGCTTGACATCTGGGAAACGATCAGCAGTAATGGAATGTTGGGAAGACTGGTTCTCGGCGGTGGCGGTGCCGGCATCACCGCGATTGGCTCAAATATTGACAGACAGACGACGCGTTTGCTGTGGCATGGCACAGATTTCATGAATACGTAGAGTCGAATAAGGAACCAGAGTAAACCATGTTCAAGAAGGCGAATAAGCCGATAGGTATCTACGTAAATTAAAAGCAGCTCATCATTCTACCTAACATCGTGCGTCGGAAAAGGTCCGAGCGAGCGAGCTCACTGCCTCCGTCCATCCATCATCAGCCCCATTCGTAAGCGGGCTCGGTCATCTCCTCCATCAGCCCACGTTCAAAAAAAGTTTGCAGACTGCTACTCTGGTGAATAAAAAGGGATAAGGTGGGAAAAAAAGACTTGAAAGCCAAGAAACCAAGTAAGGCAACAAAAAAACGTCGTCGAATCACATTCGTAACCGATTCCCCAGCCCGGGGACCCAAAACTCCGCGCCATGCCTTTGGTATAAGGTACTACTGTGGTAGGTGGGATGAAGAAAGAACAATCCCGGTAAAAAGGATATCGAGAGCTCGTGAGAGCGCGGCTATGGTCGTATAAACTCATGTCGGTGGTGCAGCCGAGGTCGCCGCCGATCCGATATTAGAAAAGAGCGTACGGTAAAATAGCGGATTCGAAAAGAAGAACGCAAACATGTGAAGCCAGGCCGAGGGGGCCTGTCATCCTCGCGTGGGATCATGCCGTCACGGCAGCCGGAGGCTCCATGGGCATGTTCCCCGACCCTGTTGGTGTGCTTGGGGCCGGGGCGATTTCAGGATCAGGAATCTGTATGTCCAGCTGCGAGGACCGTTAGCTCGAGAACGTTGCAAACACCGGGGGAGAAAGACTCACAGTCATGTAACCCGTCCGCCTCAACGAAATAATGCGCGGCGCCATTGAGGGGTCTTCGTTGCCCACCGTCTTTTCCATCTCGTTGTTCCATTGGTCTACCCACCGTTCCAGACGCTTCAGCCGGGCCTTGACGCCAGTGAAGCCCAAGTCATCCCACAACCACCCCGTCACCAAACCCAGGACACTGTCCATTATGTTTCTCCAGTTGTATGGGCTGAATATTGGCACAAGCTCACCATTCAGCCTGTCAATGATACGGCGGAACTCTTGCTCTGACAAACCAGCCGGGTCAAGAATTTCGGGGTATAGATTTGAGAACGTCGGAGCCAAATCTCCTTCCAACAACCAGTCCCGCCGAATGCGAATGATACGCGTGTTGTGATACTCGGGAGAGTCGATCGGAACGTGGGGATTTAGATGCGGGAAACACGGGTGCTGGGGGCCCCATTCCTCGCCGAGATCTGGCGGCAATTCCTCTCCCATGATAGATGAGTTCGATGAGGATATAGCCGAGCCGATTCCATCGCCGGCCGACACATTGGAAATGCGTGGAAGCACATCAGGTCCACGCTCCAAGTCCTTAGAAGTCCCCCGCACCTGTGCCTCGGTAGTCTGCTCCATGATTGCTTTTCCTTTGCCCTTGTCGACGTAGGCGAAGTCCACGACCAGAGGGTTTGACACGCTTTGACCTCGCTTTCGAAGGCCAGTAACTCGAGGTTCGACGGGTGGTTCTGCAGGCGCGTCGCCTTTATCGTCCCCCAGGCCAGAGTCGGGGTCTTGAAACGTCGGTGAAGGGTCGGCGGATCTTCTTCCGTCGTATGAGTGACGAACCGAGGGCGGAAGGCTGATGCGGTGTTCGGCGTTTCTGTCGAGCTGGAGGCTTGCGCGGTTCGACGTGGAATGTCTAGTCTGACGTTGTTCGGGGAGTGTCAAAAGCGGGTAATCGCCTGCGCCGATGCCCAAGGGATCGGAGGGATCGACGGAGTAGGGATCGAGGGTCGGATGTGATAGAGGAACTGCGGGAGGAGGCGGTGTCGATGGACGTCGTTTGCGAATGGTCTTCTCAGGGAGTCGCG